AATTAATTTCTTAGAATTTTTGTTTGTTTGTATGTTTGGTACTCCTTTGCGCTGAGATTGTTGGCTAGATTTGAAAGTTTGGTACACAGACTATGAATGCCAATCCCATGGATATGTAAGCTTCATTACAAATTTCACTTAAATCTTATATTCCGTCATAAACTTTAGCATTTATGACTAGTTTTTTCACGCGGCCATAGATAGTGATAGCACAAGAAATAAATTATTTATGATAACTAGTAGTACGTGTCTCCAGTAGCAGTCCCACGGAAATTATTTGAGGTGTCGAGATAATAGTAGCTATTATACATTAAATGCTAAATGCTCAAAATTGCATCTAAAAAGGAAAATTAACAAATTGACATCGTGTTTTCCGGAGGCTTCACAAGCGTAGTTTACAAGGAGGATATACTTTAAATAAGAACAGTGGTCATTTTTACCATATTGATTACGTTCACTTATTTTTGATTACTGTAACTTCAGAAATGATGTATACCTATACAACCTCTTTTTGGGTTGGATTTCCGAGAGTTCTTTCCTAACCAATTGTTACACGTTACTAGAAATCTACGTGCCTTAAGCTTAAAACATTTATAGGTTCTGAGATTTCGTGATAGTTATTTCGTTGGAAGATGTTAGTACAAATTCACAACGTAGCAGTCTAACCTTTAGATAACCACGATCTGTCACTCGAAAACACGTACAATTTGCACGACATTCTCAAATATCGCCGTGTATTCATTCTTCACGAACAATAAGCAAGTTAAAGTGTGAATTGTGAACTTCGCTCGTTACGGAGACTATTGGTCGGAGTTCGATCTCGAGACGAGAGACGTCCCTAATTGCTGTCACAACTAACACTTCGGGTTCTTGGATGTGACGTCAGCTCCGCGCGGCGCCTTTGTCTCTCGATCGCTAACTGTGAGTAGAACACGATTTACGACTCTTCCTCTTAACTAGATGCTTAACTTCTTGATGTCAATTGAATAAACTCATACATGCGAATAACATTGAAGAAATGTTCGAAGTTTTGGAATAAATAGTAACTTCTAAGGATTTGGCGATAAATATTTGTATCGACATTGTTGATAAAACTGTTTTCTAAAGAGAGTACAATAGAAACTAATGTTATGAGTATCTCTGTTTGAGACGTCTATAACCTTAGTCTCTCCACGATTACCATGATTGCTGTAAAGCATTCGAAACTTCGGGAACCAAAAAGATAGTTTTATTTATAAGGAGTATATTTCATGAAATATACAAAATCTTCTCGATGAAAATGAAAATGAAGCGACTGCGCTATTAAGTATTATTTATAATATTAATTAATAATAATATGAATTATTCGTTCTGATACATTTAACTGCCAGTAACTCTTATTTTACCCAAAATACTATAGCTGTGCCTCACTTTGTATTGGAGCGCACAGAACAGGTAGACAGATGTATCTTTATATAAACTAATTATATTAAATAAATATCTAAGTTTTTTTCTTAAAACTACCCACTTTTGACCAAATTTTATAAAATTATTGTATTGTTAACCAGATTTTTACACGCGTATGAACTATGAAAATGGTTGGCTAGTGTCAGTGAGTTTGATCGCCGTGGCCGAAATCGGCCGGGAGGACATCATGTTCACCAGACTATAAACAAAATATCATCTTTACAAACAGAATATTACTATATCCTTGGTGGCGACGAACACTTTTTTATCTTCCACTCAATCGCATTTGGGTTTCCCAAATTTAATATCTCAGCACCGCAAGCGAAACTCACATTTGATCTAAGGTTGCCTCGAATTGAAAATAAACATATCCCCTTTGACGGGATTAAATAAATTCGGCTCAGTTTAGAAACCTTCATGGAATTCTCAAAAATACTCGTATACATCCACTGCTACTCTTATCACAAACGCGGTATTCGGCATTTGTGTTTTTTCAGTAAAAAAAAAACATTTCTGATTATAAAAGTTTTGTTTAAAAAATAATATAAACTATATCAAATTGACCCTTAAATATGAAAAGAAATCGTACGTATATTTATCCCACTATACTATAATTAAATACAATCTTGCATAGATTTTAGAATTATTCTATCTTATTAGATATTATTAGATAATAATTATTCATATTAGATATTATTTAGATCATACGCAAAATATTTTTTCTAGTCTAACGGCATCGACATTTACGGCGATGGTTTCTAGTCAATTGCTTTGTTTTTCATTATAGCAGTACAGATTGAGTTATTTCTGATTTTTACCTTCAATTCTTTTATAATATGAGCTAAATTTGTTTAAGCGCAGTCCCCTCACTGTGCGCTGCGGTGGGCTCTGAGCGGCTCTCGTGGAAGTACGAACCCGAATAATTTCGGCATGAATTTCTGCTTTCCTTTCATAATCAAAAATAATAAAACATTTGTTTATGCAGCGGCGTTAAAGTAAACACAGTTTTATTTAAGCGTTTATATCTTATCAGCAAATTGAATCCCTGGTAGGTATTATGCGTGAACGGTGCAAATGGTATGATCATTGTACGTACGGTAATAAAAAAAATGCAAATATTTTTTCTCGTTTTATCTGTTATAATGTAACTCGTTCGTTTTAAAAAACTTTCGAATGCATAGCATTAATGTCATACTAAAGTTATATAGTAATACGGAAATATGTTTGTCAATATGTCTTTCTTTCATGCAACAACGACCATTTTTTTCTAGGCCAAATTATAAAGGCGAGAGAATAACCTATTAAAGTCCATACCATTTTATAGTCTGGTGGATAAAATGGTTATTATGGAATATTGTTGACTATGGCACTGGTTAAGTTATTTATAGGCTCTAGTGGTATAAAGTAAGGTAAGTCCTCATCCCATGCACTTTCTTAGTCATATAATTATAAATGCGAAACTTTGTATTTACAATTGTACATAATATGTGCGTGTCAATCTTAAATGCTAAAAAGACTGGACGAATTTCGATGAAATTTACTTAATAGACTATGATCCGGATTAAAACATAGTCTAGTGGTAGGTACTTAGGGAAGCTGAACAGTAGTGTAACTGCGTAGTGGAGAGTGTGTAACGCCATTACACCAAAAATAATAATTAAAAAGGCATGTCTGAAGCATGCTTTATACATACTAAGATAGTTATCACACATGACAATTAACAGATAAGAACAGTGAATTGTAAAAGTACGGATAGAAGCGAGGGTAAGTAGATAAAATCAACTGAATCGAAATACACATGGGCGAAGTCGCCAGCAGAACATGTAGAATATAATTTTGCGAAACAATTATTATTTGAATTTCATAAATGTACCTATATGGAAACTAACTTAAAACAGGTATTAGATGCGAGATCGTTTACGAAACAAAGTTTAGGCGATAGGAACCAACAGCAAACAAATTATACATCGTGTTCATAGTAACTTTGTTTTCATAATGTTATAACTAATAACTATATAATAGCTCATCTGGTACATCGGTGTAGTACTTATCACCAAGATAGGTTTTAAATTCGATCTTCTCTCCAATAATTATTTATTAAGATATGCATAAATCATTCGTTTTTAAGATTTATGAAAGGGCCATATGGAATTTGTTTGATAACTACACGATCATTTTGAATCCTATTGCTTTTCATAGGCATTTTTAATTTGTTGATGTTGTTGATGTGTTACAGCATTAACTATATACCTTATTATGTTAAGAAAGCCTAACCAGTAGTTTGCTTTCAAAAGATGTGTGATGTAACCCGCATTGGGCCAGCGTGGTAGATAGCTACATCCCCTTTGCATTGAGGGGAGGCCCATGTAGATGAACATCAACAGGACTGAATTATTATAATGGTTTTCATTATAGTGTTTGGGGTGTAATAAAAGCTATATCTACAGTTTTTTATCCTCTCTATTTAATCACTAAAATCGTTCTAGAACATTTTATTTGATTTTTGTGCTACGTTTTCTATTGTAAAGTAAACAGTTTAAAATAAAAACATAGCCTTACATAATTTCAATCAGTGGGCTAGATCAGAGTTAAAGCACAGGCTTTCTGCCTCCTCTAAAGCAAGTGAAACAGAAGACAAATCATCTATAAATCGCTTATTTGAGATTGATATCATATATGCAGCAAATAATAAAAACCTTTTCCAAAGTTTTCACTTATACGATTATATTACAGATTTCAAACTACTACAATATATTGTTATTCATTGGATAAATCCTATTCTTATAATTTGGAAGATTCAATAACACAATATTTCCTCACCCGCCCCCCTCTCGCCCCCGCTGAACGGCCGCTGAATGTACAAGCTTGTATCGCTCGTAAATTTCCTTGTTTCATTTATCCATCAAGAAGATTTCGCTTTGTGTCCACTCAAATACTTATTGACCTTAATAAATCTTTTATATGGACGACCCTGTAAGTTGGCGTTTCTATGGCAAATGTTCCTATCAGCTGCTTATTTAATTTATTGCTTTCTATCGCTTACTGTTTTTTTTTGTTGATACTGTATTACTACTACATTGAAGAACATCTATGGATATGAAATATTTTTTTAAATTGCTTCATTCTTATTAATGTTAAAATATGTTATATAGAAACTACAGAAAAATACATTAAAAATAATTATTAAAGATGTCGGGACATAACACACACACACGCACGCACGCACGCACGCACGCACGCACGCTCACACGCACGCACGCACGCACGCACGCACGCACGCACGCACACACACACACACACACAAGGCTGGCCGCAGCAAGGTTGGCTTGGTTTGGTGGTAACTTATTTATTATTAAACGGGTGCTAATCATTACTAATCTGAGATGACGTTTTTTTTAATGATCTTTAATGATAGAATTCCCCAAAATGTGATTGCTTAAAATTTTTATTCACAACATCGATTACCAACCATATTTTATTATAGACGATTAAGATAGTATTAATTATAATTTAATTGATTTCGTTAACAGTATAAAATCTTGGTTTTAGTCTGAATGGTCATTTCAATTCAAACGCATTCTACAGCCAACAACATGAAGTGCATCGTAAGTATAATTCATTTTTGAAGTGTTTATTAATGTTTACAATTCTCGAACTTTAAAATTCTTTAATTATATTACTTTATTACATCCAAGCTATAGCAGGCAGCTACGACTCTCAAATGTTAAGATTTTTGGCCAAATTTCAGCAGAATTAGTTATGTTGTAGTTTTAAATGTTTCATTTTATTTATTGTTTTAAAGGTATAAAATTTTTGCATTTATTTTATTTTGTTTGTTATTTAATTTTATGGAAAAGTACTCCGAATTAAAGAGATTTATTATTATTATTACTTTTTTTATAATGTTACAAAGTAGAGACTTAAGCATATAAGGTCACTTGCTTAATCACAATGGCAAAAGGTACTTTGGGTGAAATGAACCAGCCTTCGGATTCCTTGAAATTTTGATTCTAATGGTTACTAAACCATCGCTAGTGGCTAGCATATACGGTTACAGACGTTGAAATCCTGGGTTCGAGTCCCGGGTCGGACCAAGTTTGATTACTAAGATTTTCTGTTAAGACATTCTCAGTAGTAACCCGGAGTTGGGAAAAAGTACAGAGAGTGCTCTGCGCGTATACTTGTGCACTATAATATATCCTGCGCAGATAGTTAGTCTCAGTGAGATGGGCCGCCCTAGTCGAAATTATTCAGGAGAATATTATTATTAGTTTTGCATGATTATATCTAATCTCTATTTATTAAACATATTTTGATTTATTCCACAGGCTCTCACCATTCTTCTATGTGCTGTAGCGATTGATGCTAAGCCCTATGTGGATGGCCTTGGTCTAGGTGGAATTGGTGCAGGAGTAGGAGCTCGCATCGGTAGCGCTCTCGGCTCTGGCATAGGCCTTGGCTTGGCTGGAGCTGGAGCTCTGGGGCAAGGGGCGTTAGGAATGGGCTTAGGTACAGGCTTGGGCACCGGGATAGGTTTGGGTTCCGGAATTGGTTTGGGTTCTGGAATAGGTTATGGTTCCGGAGTAGGTTATGGTTCCGGAGTGGGTTATGGTTCCGGAATAGGCTATGGTTCCGGAAGAGGTTATGGTTCCGGAATAGGTTATGGTTCCGGAATAGGCTATGGTTCCGGAAGAGGTTATGGTTCCGGAATGGGTTATGGTTCCGGAATAGGTTTAGATGCCATAATTTAGGCTTAGAGTATAATCGGTTATACAAGTAAGAGGTTTTTGCAGTAAATAATACGGATGTTTACCTACATATTCGCTTACTCCATTGCTTGGGAGGTCTAGAAGGCAAAAGTGCTAAGTGCCAAAAACTATAATTTGTATATTGATTTATATAATATGAAATGAGTATATTGTATGGTTCGCATTAACCAAAATACTATTTTTTATATATTTTTTACCCATAGTAAGTAGTTCTATCGTAAAAACGTAACTTATCAACCCATAACATGAAATATGAAATTTAACATCAACTGATATCCGAAAATAAATCAAATAGGTCTTTCAAATTTGAAAATATTTATCATATATGTAACGAGTATCTTTATAACAAGAGCAATTTCAGGTGAATAAGATTTCTAGCCAAATCAAACCTCTCTCTCTCTCCCAGATCATCTATTGATACTCAAAAATCCGATTGCACTATAAAAGTCTCTGCTAAGAACAATTAATAACAGGACATCGTCCATTTCAAAAAAATGAACTCCAACTAACTTTAATATTAAATTTAAGTCAGAATGACTCCAACCTGTAAATTCCAGTCATCATTAGATCAGCTATATAAAAATACTTTACATGGTACAAAGCATATAATAGAAAAGTCAAAAAAATTATATTGCTTTGGCGGCTTAGGCACAGAAATGATGACACTTGTATGGAATTGTAGAAAAGAGACCAACAATATTTCATTCCAATGTTTTGCAGTAAAGTCTTTCTAGGGAGCATAAGCTTTAAGTAAGGAAACCGGTGGCTTACAAGAGGTATAAAACTCATTTTGCAGACATCAAGCAAGGTGGAAACATTTTTAAATATCTCAAGACGATAGAAGACGTAAGAAGATATTTGGATCCTAATGTAAAAATACTGTATTTATTTTCTCGTTATAAACTATTTACGTCAAAAATTTTCTTCGTAGGCTGAATGTAATATAATAATTATGTATACAAAACACCTGAAGTTATTATTTTCCTTTTTCTTTTATTTCTAACTTTAAACTTTGTTTTAACGGTAAGTACCTATAGAATAGACTATATATACATATATGTACAATGTACCTACACACATAGGTATAGAAACGTAGGTAAGTACTCGTATTATAAAAAATAAAAATAAAATATCCCTTACTTGAGAAATGATTAATTTTCCATTCAAAGTTCCACCCCCTTTTCACCCCCTTATATATGATATGTTTTCTGGGATAAAAACTATCCTATGTCACTCCCAGGGTCTCAAAATATTTCCATGCCAAATTTTATCTAATTCCGTTTTGATTAAGCGTGAAAAAGTGACGGACAGACGGAGTTACTTTCACATTTGATATTAGTATCGATATATAAAGCTGGCTTTTTTTAGTGGTGCTGGTCTATCATCATCGGTTTGGGCTGAATCTTGATAAGTCAGTCAGTGTTAATAAAAATAGTTATTGCGAGTGTTCCTTAGCAGATAAATAAATACTATTAGGGTATTTTCTGTAGATCCTTTTAAGACCTACAAATTTCTACTACATAGTTTTGATGTATCTCTTAAGGCCTAGCCAGCGTTAGTTTCTAAGGACGACTCAATAGAACCAGTTATTGTGTTTTATTGTGTTTTTATATATTGACCCGAGTAATAAGTTATCACTACACAAAATTTAGTTAAAATCAGTTCAGGACTATTTGCGTGAAACGCGCACATCAATATGACTAAGTTACTTTTATTATAAGTATAGAATAGCATTGCCCGCGGCTCCGCCCGCGTTCAGATGACCAAAAACCAAATTCTTAGGTTTTACATATTAGTTATACTCTTACAATGCAGTTTTTGTATTTTTTCTCAGAGATGAGATATTTTCCCGCGGTAAAAACTCTCTATCTGTATATGTTGACCCGGATAACATGCTATCATCATACCAAATTTCATCAAAATCTGTCCAGTGGTTTCTCGTGATGCGGTAACAGACAGACAGGCAGACAGACGGTCAGACAGACAGACAGACAAAAATTCTAAAAACTATAGATTCGGACTCTGTATCGATAATAATGTCTATTTCAATAAATTTTTCCAGAAAATATTTAATGTACAGATTCGACTTAGTTACAATTTTATTATATGTTCTAGCATTGCCCGCGGCTCCACCCGCGTTCAGATGACCAAAAACCAAATTCTGAAGTTTTACATATTAGTATACTCTTAAATTGCAGTTTTATATTTTTTCTCAGAAATGAGACATTTTCCCGCGGTAAAAAGTATCCTATATGTTGACCCGGATAACCAGCTATGACCATATCAAATTCCCTCCAGTAGTTTTTCTATGATGCGGTAACAGACAGACAGACAGACAGACAGACAAAAGTTTTAAAAAATATATATTATATATATTTCAATAGGATTTTCCAAAAAATATTTAATGTACAAATTCGGCTTAGTTACAATTATATGTATAGATAGGGAGATGATATAGATATTGCGAGTGTACCTTAGGAGATAGACATTATACTATTGCAAATTTTTCTGTATGCCTTTTCAAGACCTACATTTTTTAATACATTGTTTTGACTTCTGTCTTAAGGTTTAGCCAGCGGAAGATTTTCTTAGATTTACGCGAATATTTAACATTTTAAAAAAAACTATCTTTTCGGATTATTTCGTGGATTTATTTTGATTTTTGGTTCCCGACGTTTCAAATGCTTTACAACAATCATGGTCACGGGAGAGACTCAGGTGTTGGATGTCTCAAAGGCATTACGAGTATACAGTTGTTACAGACAGCCTACCCACAAATTAACAAAATGAATAAAAAAATTGAAAAATGGCACCAAAGTAACTTACAATATGTGTAAATTTAATTTTAACACATTTTATAATTTTAATTATTTTTATAATAATTCAATATGGAGTATTGTTTATTTAATTTCAGATGTTATTATTATAATTATTACATTTTTTTATAAAAAACTTTATTAATTAGTAATCTATATTCAATGTAAAACAGTCTCTATTAAAAATACTAACATATTTTCTATTCTATTTATAAATATATAATTATTGTGTAATTATTGTATTCTATTATATTCAACCCTTTTTAACATCCAACAGGGCCTCCTTTCATTAGGAGGGGGATAAGGTCCATTACGCTGGGCAAGTGCGGGTTGGCGGACTTCACATGTCTTTCGAAAACTTGTTATCTCAGACATGCAAACTTCCTCACGATATTTTCCTTCACTGAAAGACAAGTGGTAATCATGTTGAAAATGATTCGCACATGAAAATATCAGAGATTTGAACCCACTTCCCTCTATTACCCAAGCAAACGCTTTACCATTGAGCTACCACTGCCTTAATCTGTAATTATTATCTATACTAATATTATAAACAGGTAAAGTTTGTGAGATTGTGAGTTTGTAAGTTTGTGATATTGTAGGGGGTAATCTCTAGATCTAGAACCGATTTTGAAAGTTCTTGTACCAATAGAAAGCGACGCTATTTCTGAGTGTCATAGGCTATATATTAACCCGAAGAATAAAAAGACTTTTTCATGGTAGTCGGATTTGAAAAGTAAGTCAAAACATAAAAATAATAAAAAAAAATGATTTTATTAACGAAATTCTATTTATTTTTAATCTTTTTTTTATTGTGTAGGCTATTTAAAGAGATTTTATTTTTTTGTTTTTGTTAAAATTGTTATATATTAAGTGCATGCTCTATAAACATACTATTAATGTAATTTTATTAAGGAAATAAAAAAGGCTAATTTTTTTTTTATTTCTTTTTAATCTACTCTATGGGGCATTTCATATGAAGCGGACAAGGAAAAAAAGTGAGGTTAGGAAATTTGTTCATATGCGGGTTATTTATACTTCTAGTAGGTATGAAAGTGTTCAAAACAGTAAGTAGATTTTCTGTTCTATCATAACATAAGGTTAGTAGGAATGTTTTAATTTTTTTTCTTAAAAAACCTTACAACTCATATAATGCTTTCCTATTCCTATACATATATTCTAACGGTTGCCCAATCACTAAATTTCAATTTTAATTTTTAACAATTGTTTTTGTTCTGAAAGTACCTATCTTTGAATTTATTCAAAATTAAATTAAAAAACTTAAAGTATACATTATCTGGGTCATCATCAATTAAATCTATATTTAAAAATATCGCGTATTTATCGTGTATCGTATTGTAACTGTGGTACACGCAAGGCAACAATTTTTAAATAAACTTCCCGACTCAAAACGATCTGCAATATTTAATGGCGAGGAAGCGCCCGATTCCTTTAAACTTACGTGAATCGATTTGTAACTTGGAAATATTTCGATTGAAAGCCACTCAAGTTCCATCGAAGTTGAAAACATAATGTTAGACGGCACAATACCTGCCGGGTACCTGCGGCTCCGTCTCACTGTCAAAGATAAACTAACATTGTTGTTCTAGATAGCGTATATAGTAAGCTTAACCCAAGGAAAATTAAAGATAGCGTCATATAATTGAACATGAAGTCAAACAATACTATTTTATTAAAATAGATACAAATGATAATTTGTATACTGAGTGATAAGTAAATAAATGTTAATAAATAAAAATAGCTAACGGATTTTATTAAATCTCATAAATAATGTAAATAAGCTAATATTATGATGTCCGTAAAGTTGACCCCACAATTTTCGAATTACATGGTAAATACACAAAATACAGAAAAATACATGGTATTTTATGGCTAATTTGTTGCTAAAACCCTGATTTTTTTGCTTTGTCTGATTTAAAAAAAAAAGAGTTACTGCTATCTTAACATTAAGCCAGCAGTAAACTCACGGGTCCGGCATGGATTACATGCATTTATACATCAGTATTTGTTGCTAATTTGTTGCTGACAAGTAGTGTAAGAAAATTTGAAAAAACCCTGGAATTGGCTAGACCTGGAGACCTGTAGCCATGTCCAATGTCCATGCTACTTTAACATGAAGTTTTTTTTACAAGACGTTGGCATGGATTCACGGTGCCAGCCAATACAAAGCAAAGCACACCGACTTCGAATATATTTGATTAGGTATGTATAGTAAATGAAAACTACCATCAGTTTTTTAGAGGCGATCACAAAAATATATACATCGTATATGTTTTAAAGTCGTTTATTTTAAGGATTTTTTAGGATACAAAATTGCTAAATATTACGTCAAATATCTAATTGGCAAAATTTAAAAAGCTATAAATAAGAAAGTCTATACTAATATTATAAAGATGTAAACTTTGTGAGTTGTGAGTTTATGACGTTGTAGGGGGTAATCTCTGGATCTACTGAATAGATGTTTGGCTTGGAATAGATGTTAATTTAAACATTAAAACCACAAATGTACGCCACGACTGACTAATATGGACGGAGCCCGTCAAAATAAATGCCAAAGTAAAAAAAACATATTATAAAAATACTTCCGACTGCATAAAGCTAACTAAAAAGATGAAAACAAGCTGACGAAGATATAATAGTATTACTCCTATGTCCTTCCCAGGGTCTCAAACTATTCTATTATCAAATTTCATCTAAATCAGTTCAGTAGATCTAGAGATTACCCCCTACAACATCACAAACTCACAATCTTACAAACTCATAAACTTTAATTCTTTATAATATGAGTATAGACTAGTACGAGTACAATACTAAATAATAAATATACAAGAACTAGATGAGAGAAGAAATACGTTATATATTTAATTTAAATGAAGGATTTCAAAATAAAATCCTTATCAAGCGTTTTGTAAGAAACTGTGTTATGCTCGAATTTGATTCAAATTGACTTCAACAAAAAAAAGGATAACTCGGATCAGATTAGATTTTGCATAACATCTCTAAGTAGGTACTCTCAGTTTTATTATCTTTTCGCTCGGGTGCGTAACTATCTATATACTTCCAAATTCGTCTAGCAGTTTCAGCGAGAACAATAGTTAGATTAACTGAAAATAAGCAGTGGTCTTTGATATAGAAAAATCTTTGTGAATTAATTCATTAATGCTTCAAGACTCGCGGATACGCCGGCATGTCAGTTAGCAATTGATTTCCCGGAAACTAACCACGGAGGCGTAGTGAACCTAATACTAACCATTTCCCTGTCCCATGAGTCATGTACGAACATTTCGATTGTTTAACTATTGTGTCTATTTTGCGGACAGTTAATCTGCTAAGGGACTTTTTGTCGCATTTTAATGATCCTTAATGACATAATTTCCCGACAAGTCACCGTTTCAAATTTATGCCATTCGGGGAATCTACGACATCGTTAACTAATCATATTTTCTCAGAGACTATTTAGATAACAATAATTATCGATTAATTACTTTTTGTTAACAGGTGAGTATAAAGGTCTCGTTTTGAATGTTGAACGTCACTCTACACTACACGTCCTACAGCCACTAACATGAAGTGCATCGTAAGTGCTCTTATTTCAAATCTGAAATTATATAATTCTTTAAAATGTAATATGTGTGCTAAATTTTTAATAATTTGAATATGAATTTTCTTATTTCGAGAGTTCATTTGTGTGTCATATTTTTATTCCGCATCGACTCCATGGAGATTACTGAACCCTATAAGGTCAAATTTGAAAAAAAAAAATATTGTTTAAAATGTACATTTTGAAGCTTTAAAATGTGAAGATATTAAAGAAAATGTAATATTAAAATAATCGATGCTAATAATTGTAGGCTCTATTTGTATGATAATTTCGCAGGTTTTTATTGTCCTTCTGAGTGCTGCAGCGCTTGAAGCCGTACCCATTGGAATGGGTCTGGGCGGACTTGGTGGATATGGACTTGATGAATATGGAGCACTTGGCGCTGGACTTGGATCTGGAATTGGGGGCGCCCTCGGTTCTGGCGTTGGTCTAGGCGTAGGCACGGGTCTTGGCGTAGGCACGGGTCTTGGATTAGGCACGGGTCTTGGCTTAGGTACGGGTCTTGGCTTAGGTACGGGTCTTGGCACAGGATTAGGGTTGGGCAGAGTAGGCCTAGGTACCGGACTAGGCTTGGGTGGTATGTCCAGTGGCGGCAGCGGATTCTCCGGTGGGGGACAGTTCGGAAGCCAAGCACTCAATAGTGGTGCAAGCGGCATCGGTAACCAAGGATATCACAGCCAAGGAGTTGGTGGTTTCCATAACCAGGGACAGCACAACAGTAAAATCACCTCCGTAAGTAGATATTATTATACGTTGTTATAAATGTGATTATTGGTAAACAATATATACAAAACAAAGTCGGGTTTGTTACAACACTTATAAATCGAGAACTGCTGGACCGATTTTTATGTTCTTTGTTTTGTTGGATATTTGTTTAGTTAAATATCGGAAAAATTCACGAAAAAAAAAACCTATTCCATACTAAGCGTTAAAACATACCTGAGCGAAGCGAGGGTGAGTCGCTAGTACTTTATAAAAGAGTAAGTAGTAAACGGCATGTTATTGGCTTTTAAGATTTACCTGTTTTATTCAATTATATTTATCAGATCACACAAGCTGAGCAGTCCGATGGACACGACGTTGGCAGTAGTAACGCCTATGGCACCGGAGGCCACCTCGGTAACGGCTACAACAGGTACGGCAACCAAGGCGGCCAGTTCGGCAGCCAGTACAACCAAGGCCAAATGGGACAACAAAGCTCGTTCATTTAATTTAAATTTGCAAAATTATAATAGATAGGTGATATTGTAAAGTCCTTTACTCGACTCAGGGCATTTAAAATAAAGCCTTATAGGACAGTGAATTTCGATTTTTTTATTTCAATATCATATTTTCTCCCTAATTAAAAAAATATATCTTTAATTTTAATTCCAGTATTATATAAAATTATAACGTAAAACTAAAATAATTATTTTATCTTGAGAAAAACAACTAACAGAAAACAAAAAATATATACAGTTGAATTAAGAATCTCCCCTTTTTTTTGGTCGTAATTCATGAATTTCTTGCGTTTCTCCTATCACCGACGTCCTTAATCATCTGAGAGTTGCGCATGAGAACGTCGCGTCGGTGGATGGATGAATCTGATCTATTAAACCGTTACAACCTTATCTTCTTCTTAGCGCCTTCTTTTAGCTTATATTAATTATAATTAAATGTTTTTCTTGAATTAAAAAAAATATATTAAAAAATTAAAATATACAATAAAAAGAAATAAAACCCTAAACGTTTCTTATTTACTTTTGGTAATACTTAATAAAGTTTACCGTTTTTGCTAAAAATAAAATAATTAATTACTTAATTGCGTGTGTATGAGGTAGAAATGGATGATTAACACAAACGTTAAACTTTTTTAGAAGCCAGTCGTAATATTATGTTAAAGCCAATCACGCAGCTCTCAGGACAGTTAAAGCAACTTTAACATTCTCAAGCATTCGTACAATCAATTCAAAAACTATGAGTTAATTTTTCAAAAGCATCTAGTATTAATATCGCATTAGGAGAGTGAGTGGTGTCGACACGCGCGCCGTGTGCAAGTGTCGGCGGGCGGCGACGCGGAACAAACATAGGCGACTACAACGGCAATAAAACTTGCACCGCGATATTGATGTTTCATTTGATTTCTTAAATTTCAAGACTTGAAAGTCAAACAAAACAGTAGTAAAGTGAGAATTATTTAAAAATAGGATGAGGTTTTGAATTAACCATTATTTCTATTGGCCTCATTGGGAACAAAGAACAAAATTCCATAACCATTTTTCCCTTTATCCTTCATAAAATAAGTTAATATCATATGAATCATTGCTTGTTCTTTTAGAATTAAAACACACTTTCAAAACAAAATACAAGTACTTGTATATTACTTTTTTCCCTTTGCAAATAATTATGTAGTCCCCAAACTGAAAATTTTATATTGAATTTAAATACTTTGCCTGTAAAAAAATACAAATATTCTACTCCCACTTCATTTCGAACTTATTTTTATAGAATTTAATTTGGTTTTGATTGAATTTATATTGATTATATACCTATGTATAAATTGATGAAAATATACCATTTTAAATAATTGCCCCCCAGTAATTTTTTCTACACCCGTCCAGTCGTATCAGAGTGAAGGAGTAAAACAAACATACACATTTAGAAAATTTCAATAAACAGCAAATTTCTTAGCTCCTTTAGTGCCTGATGATACAGTTACCCCGTATAGTGTGTCTGTGCTACCGCTATTATATAGATCTCGAAGCGGCTTAGCCGGTCGCTTAGACTTCTGTGTACGCACGGTGTGTCGTGCCGTTCGATATCATTGATCGCTTTAGTAATTAATTTGGAATTAAAAAAAACTATCAATTTTCTTATCGAAATCGACTTTAAAATAAATAAATATATGAGGACATTAGCGCACAGTACCATCTAGGTCCATGGTAAGCTACGAGGCTTGTGTTATAGATACCAGATAGTTGATACACTACACATATATAACTTTAAATACACACATATTATAAATATAAACACTCATTACTGAATCATAAACATTTGTGCTCATCACAGAAATGAATGTCCGCAGCGGGACTCGAACCCGCGACCGCTGGCACAGGTCACTACAAACTGAGCCAATCTAGAAAGAAGTTTTTAATAAAGTCAATTGTTATAGTATGTATACTTACTTTTTTTCAATAATTCTTCTGGTTGTAACTCAACTTCATGACATTTCTATGTCAAAAAGACTAAACTTGGCTTTATTGGCTAAATTTGCAATATTTTGATTACATTTTTTGAAAATGGTTGAATAACGAGCAGCTCCTATTTCAATCATATTAAAAATGTACGACTAATATAGATTTAAACACAAAAAAGGTTACTGTTACACTGTTGTATATTTACCGTATGTTTAATTATCATCAACTAAGTTAAATCATATTATGGAATTTAATTCACTAAAGTCGTTCATTACTAGATGTAAGTTAATAATAAATAATCAAATGATTTAAATTGTGTTTACTACATAATATTATTGCTATTGATTTGTATTAGTGCTATGTATTGTAGTGGTCGCTCGTGTGCCCGATTATATATAAAACAAACTGCGATATGAAGAACTTGTACTTGCCATTATGTATTAAAAAGAAGCATTATGAAACCTAACTGAATATTCCCAATTATCTATTACAGAATTCTGGTCGACCGCATCTAAAATACACGGAGATTCGTGGGCTCTATTATGAAGCGACATCACTCGCTATTCCTCATGCTCGAACCCACTTTATATCAGTGGCCTGCATTTTGCGATAAGCAAATAAAATTTTTCATAGTCGACATCAAACCATTATTATTCGTTTGAAATATTCATACTAGTCTCGGAGGGCAAACCTCTTTACAGTCGGCCAATAAATAATATAATACCAATAATTCTTGCAATTCACTTTAAACTTTAGTGCTATAGAGATAAAGTGCATAATAACAGATTGTTATGCAAAGATAACTAAATAGCTGTATTGTACATTGGCAGCATCGCGACACGTTTTGAACTCAAAGATTTTTAGACTGACAACGAAATTGAAAATATTATAAAGAGGGCATGTGGCTCGCAACGGAGTTTTCCTCGAGATTAACTCAAGTTACTCATCGCCCTCTAGATTATTCCCCTTTCTGAGGAAAATATGGCGTGTGACGAAGTATTTTATGAAGCAATAATGGATTGATACTGCGGAAAGTTATGGATTTAGGTTTGGTTCCAATATTGACATCTTCTTCATTAACTTTCTATTTCTTACTTCATTCTCAAGGGGAGATGTAATAAGGTCAAAGTTAAAGTCCATATACTGTACACACGTAATGTAATAAAGCAGTTACAGGAAGGGATCAGGAAATTGTAATGTCAAAAATTTACCAATAAATAAAATCCATACACATAAATATAGAACCTCCTCCTTTTTGAAAGTTGGATAGAAAAAGAAATAACGGATTTATTTAATGTGTCAATCCTCGAAGCGAACTGGAATTGTACTGAGCGTACTCTCGTCATAAAAACTTGCATATATTTTATTGTGTATGGGTTGAAAATTTAATAAAACAATATTATGTAATAGAAGAACAATATGTTTTAGACTTGGCCAAAAACGAAGTCACATTTTTTTTCGTATTCCTTATGAAACATCCCATCTCCCTGTTGAAATACGATAGTTAGCTATATGAATGAAATCATATAAAGCGTCTGTATTTTCAACGCTGAGGTTTTTCATTATTCCAGCAACTGGTTACATTACAGTATGATAGGATTCAATATAGGCTCCCTCGTCGCGACGTTCATTTTCCAGCGCATCTCGCGCCGATGCACAATCCACCACTTCTGTTTTTAGTTCAACTGCACCTCTAATAATTCTATCATATCCCTTTGTCTGACTGGCTTAATTGATTCTGCGGTTGACTTTTTTAGCATCGATTCTCGATAGATCTTCATTTTTGTCAGGCATTATTCTGGAAATACGTTAATTGAAAGTGTCGTTTTGACTGATTGATGGGGATCGCTTTAATTTAATTAGTTTTGTGTTAAATTAATTTTATATAATATATGTTACCATTCTTACCTACATAATATAACTTATAATTCCTCGCATTTTCTCTTTGTAATATATAGAAATAAATATATATATATATATATATATATATATATATATATATATATATATATATATATATATATATATATTTTATAGAGAGTACGTACTATATATATGTACATTCTTGACTTATCAAAACTAACAAAATTCTCTCTCGTTAAATACACACTATTCATGCCACGTACTGAAGATAAATAAATATGTTGGCACATTAAAATTATTTATTGCTTCAAAATAAGACATTTGAGATAATTTTCTTCATACATAACCTTATGTAAGATTTTGCGGGGTAACGTGTCGCGACCTCGCCGAGCACATTACTAAATTTTAAAAGTCATTTAAAATGAAGAGCAAAATTGTGTATTTTTTTTCATATAGCCTTTGACTTTACTCACTCTCTTTCACTCAATATTCATAATAATGATTTTATCAAAATTTCGATATCACGCCAAATAAACTTTTTAAATTGTTATTATTATTTTATTACACCATAGATTTATATAAAATTGGTTTAAGCTGTAATTTTGTGCAAACATTAACTATTCCCTTCTTACGGTACGCGTCTTTGAGACGAGGAGGCTTGACCGAGGGCTCTCGTGGTAAATTCCTTTTCGAGTAAAGAGCTTACCATGATATTCTAGACTCTATCTCTTAGGGTGCTGAGAACAAACTGGGTGGAAAACAATTTGTGATGTCACGTGTCAAAGAGCTTTCCTAATCCGGTAGAGCTGTTTAGTTTCCTGAGGTTTTTTTGCAAACTCTAGAAAGTTTAATAATTTGGAATAAACAGTATATTATTTTATATTATCTATAAACTAATAAACTAATTATTCCACTCTTAGATTATTTTGTCACTCGTCGATACGACACTCGTCGTACGTCAATTTTATTCAGAAATGTTCACGGATTTGTATAATAAACAAAACAATTATTGATTAGGCTCATTTTTACATAAATATAATAATATATAACATGCCCGAAACAAGTATGAATAGCAGTGGCTTAAGGCTTTCTACAAACTAAATAAAATGGAGAGCAGCATTCAGAAGTAAATCGAAGAGTAGGTCCAGTGTATTTGAATACACGTACTC